CCTCACACACTGCTGGTGTGTAGAATTTTTTGACATAGGGTGCTGGCAGATTACGGGCCTCCCATAGCTGCTGCCAGGCCCCTAATCTGCCATAGGCCCCTATATACCGCCTCCTCATGCTGCTGCCAGGTCCAGAGTCTCTCATGGGTCCCTGTACGGCCTCCCATTGCTGCTGTCATCGCCACACTCTGCCATGTGTGCCACTTTCAGGTCTCCTCACACACTGCTGGTGTGTAGAATTTTTTGACATAGGGTGCTGGCAGATTACGGGCCTCCCATAGCTGCTGCCAGGCCCCTAATCTGCCATAGGCCCCTATATACCGCCTCCTCATGCTGCTGCCAGGTCCAGAGTCTCTCATGGGTCCCTGTACGGCCCCCCATTGCTGCTGTCTCCATCGCCACACTCTGCCATGTGCCACTTTCAGGTCTCCTCACACACTGCTGGTGTGTAGAATTTTTTGACATAGGGTGCTGGCAGATTACGGGCCTCCCAGCTGCTGCCAGGCCCCTAATCTGCCATAGGCCCCTATATACCGCCTCCTCATGCTGCTGCCAGGTCCAGAGTCTCTCATGGGTCCCTGTACGGCCTCCCATTGCTGCTGTCTCCATCGCCACACTCTGCCATGTGCCACTTTCAGGTCTCCTCACACACTGCTGGTGTGTTGAATTTTTTTTGACATAGGGTGCTGGCAGATTACGGGCCTCCCATAGCTGCTGCCAGGCCCCTAATCTGCCATAGGCCCCTATATACCGCCTCCTCATGCTGCTGCCAGGTCCAGAGTCTCTCATGGGTCCCTGTACGGCCTCCCATTGCTGCTGTCTCCATCGCCACACTCTGCCATGTGCCACTTTCAGGTCTCCTCACACACTGCTGGTGTGTAGAATTTTTTGACATAGGGTGCTGGCAGATTACGGGCCTCCCATAGCTGCTGCCAGGCCCCTAATCTGCCATAGGCCCCTATATACCGCCTCCTCATGCTGCTGCCAGGTCCAGAGTCTCTCATGGGTCCCTGTACGGCCTCCCATTGCTGCTGTCTCCATCGCCACACTCTGCCATGTGCCACTTTCAGGTCTCCTCACACACTGCTGGTGTGTAGAATTTTTTGACATAGGGTGCTGGCAGATTACGGGCCTCCCATAGCTGCTGCCAGGCCCCTAATCTGCCATGGGCCCCTATATACCGCCTCCTCATGCTGCTGCCAGGTCCAGAGTCTCTCATGGGTCCCTGTACGGCCTCCCATTGCTGCTGTCTCTCCATCGCCACACTCTGCCATGTGCCACTTTCAGGTCTCCTCACACTGCTGGTGTGTGTTAAATTTTTTGACATAGGGTGCTGGCAGATTACGGGCCTCCATAGCTGCTGCCAGGCCCCTAATCTGCCATAGGCCCCTATATACCGCCTCCTCATGCTGCTGCCAGGTCAGAGTCTCTCATGGGTCCCTGTACGGCCTCCCATTGCTGCTGTCTCCATCGCCACACTCTGCCATGTGCCACTTTCAGGTCTCCTCACACTGCTGGTGTGTAGAATTTTTTGACATAGGGTGCTGGCAGATTACGGGCCTCCCATAGCTGCTGCCAGGCCCCTAATCTGCCATAGGCCCCTATATACCGCCCTCCTCCTCATGCTGCCAGGTCCAGAGTCTCTCATGGGTCCCTGTACGGCCTCCCATTGCTGCTGTCTCCATCGCCACACTCTCTGCCATGTGCCACTTTCAGGTCTCCTCACACACTGCTGGTGTGTAGAATTTTTTGACATAGGGTGCTGGCAGATTACGGGCCTCCCATAGCTGCTGCCAGGCCCCCCTAATCTGCCATAGGCCCCTATATACCGCCCGCCTCCTCATGCTGCTGCCAGGTCCAGAGTCTCTCATGGGTCCCTGTACGGCCTCCCATTGCTGCTGTCTCCATCGCCACACTCTGCCATGTGCCACTTTCAGGTCTCCTCACACACTGCTGGTGTGTAGAATTTTTTGACATAGGGTGCTGGCAGATTACGGGCCTCCCATAGCTGCTGCCAGGCCCCTAATCTGCCATAGGCCCCTATATACCGCCTCCTCATGCTGCTGCCAGGTCCAGAGTCTCTCATGGGTCCCTGTACGGCCTCCCATTGCTGCTGTCTCCATCGCCACACTCTGCCATGTGCCACTTTCAGGTCTCCTCACACACTGCTGGTGTGTAGAATTTTTTGACATAGGGTGCTGGCAGATTACGGGCCTCCCATAGCTGCTGCCAGGCCCCTAATCTGCCATAGGCCCCTATATACCGCCTCCTCATGCTGCTGCCAGGTCCAGAGTCTCTCATGGGTCCCTGTACGGCCTCCCATTGCTGCTGTCTCCATCGCCACACTCTGCCATGTGCCACTTTCAGGTCTCCTCACACACTGCTGGTGTGTTGAATTTTTTTGACATAGGGTGCTGGCAGATTACGGGCCTCCCATATAGCTGCTGCCAGGCCCCTAATCTGCCATAGGCCCCTATATACCGCCTCCTCATGCTGCTGCCAGGTCCAGAGTCTCTCATGGGTCCCTGTACGGCCTCCCATTGCTGCTGCTGTCTCCATCGCCACACTCTGCCATGTGCCACTTTCAGGTCTCCTCACACTGCTGGTGTGTTAGAATTTTTTGACATAGGGTGCTGGCAGATTACGGGCCTCCCATAGCTGCTGCCAGGCCCCTAATCTGCCATGGCCCCTATACCGCCTCCTCATGCTGCTGCCAAGTCCAGAGTCTGTCATGGGTCCCTGTACGGCCCATCCCATTGCTGCTGTCTCCATAGCCACACTCTGCCATGTGCCACTTTCAGGTCTCCTCACACTGCTGGTGTGTTGAATTTTTTGACATAGGGTGCTGGCAGATTACGGGCCTCCCATTGCTGCTGCCAGGCACGTAATCTGCCATGGGCCCCCGTACCGACTCCTCATGCTGTGACGTTGCAACAAGGTGGAATTCAACCCTACATATGTTAGACCGCCTTTACGAACAGCGAAAGGCCATCACAGATTTCCTGATGTTAAAAGCGGATAAAGGTACTCCCTGTGTAACTTAGATGTCAGCCATTGGCAGCTCATGCGTGACACCTGCGCTTGCTCAGGCCCTTTGAGGAGGCCACGCTATTCGTGAGTCGGCAGGACTATGGGATGAACGACGTCATTCCTCTGTTGCACGTCCTGGAACAAATGCTGTTAACAATGGCTGGTCAGGGTGCGGTAGACGTGGCGCACAGATCTCAACGCCACATGACCCCTGTGGGGGCAGGACAGGAAGAAGAGGAGGAGGTAGAGGAGGACATTGGTGCTCAGGAATTATTGAGTGAAATGGGTGGTTTTTCCACTCAGCGGACAGGAGTGGAGGAGCAGGAGCATCTGGTAGAGGAGGAGGAGGAGGAGACAGAGGACCCAGACGCACCGTGGCAGTATGCTGTGGAGATGGAGGCAGGGAGTCCCTCGCATTCCTTGGCACAAATGGCCCATAGCATGCTCGCTTGCTTGCGTAGCGACAGCCGAATAATAACCATCAGACAGAGGGATGACTTTTGGCTGTCCACCTTGTTGGACCCTCGCTACCGTTCAAAAATGGTGGCCTTTTTCACACCTGCTGAGAGGGAGGCCAAAATAACGTACTATAAAAACCACCTATGTAGTCAGCTGGTCTCTGCCTGTCTGCGCCAACGTCCATCCTCAGACACTGTGGGCCCTGTGCGCTCGCGCGTTCCGCTGCCATGGCAGCAGGGGAGGGGTGGGGTGGTAGGAGCAGTGGCAGCTCCACCAGCAGCGGCTGCCTCAGTCTGCAGTCGATGATGAGTAGCTTTCTTCACCAGCGCAGTGAGGAAACTACTAACCAGCCGCAGCAGCAGCAGCAGCAGCAGCATCAGGTGGACCTGGAGCAGGACCTCAAACAACAGGCTTAGGCCTACTTGGACAGCACCCTGCCAACCGGGTAGACAATCCCCTTGACTACTGGGCAACGAAACTTGACCTTTGGCCCCAACTAGCTGAATTTGCCCTTGAAAGGCTGTCATGCCCGGCCAGTAGCGTGGCATCGGAGCGCGTGTTTAGTGCGGCAGGAGGTATTGCAACTCCGCGGAGGACACGACTGTCCACCCAAAGTGTGGAGAGACTGACGTTTGTGAAAATGAATCAGGCGTGGATTAGTCTGGATTTCAAACCACCAGTTCCTGACACAACTGACTAAATCCGCCATGAATCATGCCCCAAACATGTGCCACTTTCAGGTCTCCTCACACTGCTGGTGTGTTCCATTTTTTGTCATAGGGTGCTGGCAGATTACGGGCCTCCCATAGCTGCTGCCAGGCCCCTAATCTGCCATGGGCCCCTATACCGCCTCCTCATGCTGCTGCCAAGTCCAGAGTCTCTCATGGGTCCCTGTACGGCCTCCCATTGCTGCTGTCTCCATCGCCACACTCTGCCATGTGCCACTTTCAGGTCTCCTCACACTGCTGGTGTGTATTCCATTTTTTGTCATAGGGTGCTGGCAGATTACGGGCCTCCCATAGCTGCTGCCAGGCCCCTAATCTGCCATGGGCCCCTATACCGCCTCCTCATGCTGCTGCCAGGTCCAGAGTCTCTGTCATGGGTCCCTGTACGGCCTCCCATTGCTGCTGTCTCCATCGCCACACTCTGCCATGTGCCACTTTCAGGTCTCCTCACACTGCTGCTGTGGGTTTCCATTTTTTGTCATAGGGTGCTGGCAGATTACGGGCCTCCCATAGCTGCTGCCAGGCCCCTAATCTGCCATGGGCCCCCGTACCGACTCCTCATGCTGCTGCCAGGCCCGTAATCTGTCATGGGCCCCTGTTGTCGCTTGTTGGCATATTCCGCTCGTTCAGATGCTCCTTCTCCTGCTACTCCTCTTTCACGGATTCCGTCAGCAGTCTTTCTTGGAATCCGTTTCCAAGAGACAACAGTTTGCGAGCACGCACCAGACGGTGCAGAAACTGAACGTCCTCCTGTCCAAGTTGCTGCTGCCAGGCTCGTAATCTGTCATGCGCCCCTGTACCGCCTCCTCATGCTGCTGCCAGGTCCAGAGTGTGTCATGGGCCCCCGTACCGACTCCAAATGCTGCTGCCAGGCCCGTAATCTGTCATGGGCCCCTGTACCGCCTCCCCATGCTGCTGCCCAGGTCCAGATTGTGTCATGGGTCCCTGTACGGCCTCCCATTGCTGCTGCCAGGCCTGTAATCTGCCATGGGCCCCCGTACCGACTCCTCATGCTGCTGCCAGGCCCGTAATCTGCCATGGGCCCCTGTACCGCCTCCTCATGCTGCTGCCAGGTCCAGAGTGTGTCATGGGTCCCTGTACGGCCTCCCATTGCTGCTGTCTCTATCGCCACACTCTGCCATGTGCCACTTTCAGGTCTCCTCACACTGCTGGTGGTTTCCATTTTTGTCATAGGGTGCTGTATGGCCTCCCATTGCTGCTGCCTCCACCGCCACACTGTGGCTCCACACTCTGGTTTTGGCCCCGTGACTGGCCAAATGAGTGAAGTGTGCGGTGATTCTAAGATCGACGGCACTCATCTGCATGTCATACTGACTGACAGTATTATTTCTCTTCCCCAGCAGACTCCAAGGGCATTTAAATTAAAGGTACAGTGTTCAGCACTAATATTAAGTCTCTCTGAAGCCTAGAAACACCCTTTTTTAAGTTAAATTCACAGCGAATATATTCGACTCGAATCAAAATTTTTCCACGAATTCGCCGAATCAGTATTACCAATAAATGTTAATAGCAAAGGATAAAAACTGTGCAAAAAATAAAGATCTAACTTATATACACAGAAAAAGAAGCTTGCTATTAATCAAATACAACAAAATATAATGTAGCCGGTATACCTTTAAAAGTAGTAATATTACTATGCAAATACAGAATGTTTGTGTTAAAATAAAGCAGTTGACTTCCTGTCTTAAGAAGAGTCTGGTGCTGTCTATTTCCTGTATGATCAGCGGTGGTGTCCGTGGATCTGTGTTTGGACAGGGAAGCGGGAGTGTAACGGAAATACCCAAGCACAGTCGGGGTCCGGTTCTGTTACACTACCCACCATAACCCTTTTGAGGCATGGACTCCACTAGACCTCTGAAGGCAAGCTGTGGTATCTGGCACCAAGCGGTCAGTAGCAGATCCTCTAGGTACCGTAAGTTGGGAGGTGGGGCCACCAAGAATCAGACTTGATCCTTACCAGACACATCCTACAGATACTCGATTAGACTGAGATATGGATAATTTAGTCTTAAACTTGTGTTCCTCAAACCATTCTTGAATTCATCAGACCAGGCCACCTTGCTCTGTGGTCCAGTTCTGATGCTCAGGTGCCCATTGTAAACACTTTTGGCTGTTGACACATTTCAGCATAAATACCTTTACTGGTCTGCAACTGCACAGCCCCCATACACAACAAACCTGGATGCTCTGTGTATTCTGACACCTTTCATTTGAGCTCCAGTAGCTCTTCAAATGGATCAGACTTCACAGACCAGCCCTCCCTCCCCACCTCCATCAATGAGCCTTCCCTCCCCACCTCCATTAATGTGCCTCCCCCCACCTCCGTCAATGAACGTTTCCTTCCCACCTCCATCAATGAGCCTTCCCTCCCCACCTCCATCCATGAGCCTTCTGTGGCGGAAATGTTCCACCTGGGCTTCCTCATGCGGAGCGATACGTCTCAGCCAATGGTCCCCTTTTCCACCAAGTCTTCTAGTGCTCTGCCAAGGTGGGTATTAGAGCTCAAAGACAATCCTTCCCTGCTACTCAAAACTACTAGTTGGAACTTCGTGTAGGGTGAATGAATGAATGCTTTATTGAACACAGCTCAGTATATACAGCACATCCTGGCAGTAATCCCTACCCCCTTCAGCCCCACCCCCCCACCAGACAGTCCGGCACCTGGTTTTCCCCACCCACAACAAAACTCTACAACACAACAGCAATCAGCACAGTATGAAATCTAGAGAAATGAAAGACTACAAGGTCACATTTCCTTAAACAAACGTGTAGAATGCCTGTCTACATAACAGCTGCTAAACATATACAGCTTTAAAAAAGGTAGAACGGGAAGACCACGTAACATGGGGATTAAACCGGAACAGAAAGGGCAAAATGTTATCACAAAGGGAAGGTTCTTCACACCTGCCTTCCTCACCTGCATCAATGAGTCTTCCCTCCCCACCTCCATCAATGAGCCTTCCCTCCCCACCTCCATCAATGAGCCTTGGCTGCCTATGACCCTGTCACCAGTTCACTGGTTTTCCTTCCTTGGACAACTTTTGGTCGGTCCTGACCACTGAAGACTGGGAACGTCCCACAGAAGCTGCAGTTTAGGAGTTAAAGTCACCAAAATCTTTACTGTTGCCCATTTGTTTCTGCTTTTAACACATCAACTTCAGGAACAACACATTCAGATGCCATTGTAAATAGATAATCAGTGTTATTCAATTTACCTGTGAGTGGTCAGTAAGCTAAGGCTGATGAGTGTATACATAGTTGCCAACAGTTCCTAATTGTTGGGACTGTTCCGACAATCTGACCCATGCCCCCCCCCGTCTGTGATTGTCCCAGGCAGAATCCCGAAAATTGACCTGGCGATGAATCAAAACACTGTCATCCCTCCCCTACCTGCTCCCCACCTCCAGGAAGTCAGGTGCTGTCTGTTCAAACACCGATTGGTCAGTGCTGAGAGGGGGCTTGACCACCCAAGGGTGATCACACCATCTGGTGATTTCTTGAGTCGCTCAGACTGTCTATGTCAGAAACTGCTACAGGGACTCGATCGGGAGCAAGAGGAGCAGGGGTGGACACAGAGCCCAACCAGAGGTTGAGAGAGACCCGGAGCGAGCGGGGTGACCAGAGGCCTGAGTCTTAATTAAATAGGGGGTGTTGTAAGTCAGAGCAACGGACTGTGGAGGCCAGAGGCAAGCCAGCCACATGGATGGAGCAGAGTGGCCAGCAGAGTGAAGGGACGAATCAACCAACCCAGCCAGACAGAACCGAAGCTAGCACCATCTGTTGCCAAGTCCAAGTCAGGTCATTTAAATATAAAGATATTGGGAAGAAGCGCCTTAGTACTTTATATTGTAAAGCTGCTATGCACAAGTGAGGTACCAATAACCCCTAAAAGTCCGTAATGTGTATGTAAATAAAGTGCAGCGCTAAACAATCACAGAAAAATGGCAAGCATTAGATCAAGATAGAAAGTCCTCCTGCGAATTAATGAAAGAGAATAGGTGCTCAGGTGTCTTGGTCCTGGTATCTGTGTACGTATGTGATAAAGCAATGCACACTCACCAGACCCGCATAAAATATGCGCCTTTGTATATAAATAATCCAGATGTCATCCGGTAATGGGTGGTCCTCCCTCAGCTGTATATGAGGCTGATGATCCTCTCCAATTGAGGGTCCCCCTGGTGTTAATAGGTGAGAGATATGGTCCGGGTCCCTCCGGTATATCCAGGAGTAGGTCTGCAAATTAGAGTGCTCCCCCAAGGGGTAACAAAGATACTCCCATAGTGTAGTAATTGGTATAAAATAGGTTTATTTAGGATAAGCATAAAAAACATTGCAGACAGTTATTAGTGCATAACTAACCGTCTGAAATGCTAAGATGGCCGCCAGAGCTCCGCGTTGCTCCAGCACGTCTTCAGAGGGGGGTTGCCAAACATGCCATGCCGTTTGTCAATTGTATTTATGCGGAAGTCCGCACATGAGCAGTAAGGTGTAGCCTAACTGGGGACGTGCAGAACGAACTGCGCAGGCGCGAATGAACGCGCGCTATTTTCCCTTGGTCTCCCCGGATAAATGAACAGTACAGACATAACGTCTGTATATTCAATACTGGAATGTGCTAATGTGCACAGGACAAAGGTTACAACACCATTTCTATTAAACAGAAATGGATAGAAACATTGTATATTTCTACTATAATAATAAACATGCTATAGCAGAAAGAATAGGTAATTTCAAATAATAGCTTAATGTGAAAGCAAAAAAAAAAAAAAAAAAAGGGAGTATTAGAGATAAATAATAATAATAATAATTGCTACATATGGGAACACAGCTAGGGTTAATGCGCATGTGTGAATCAGACAGTACATAATCAAGTCACAATCAAATACAATAAAAATGTAAATCAATAAAAATCAATAAAAAATGTGTATCAGCCCACTTCAAAAATAGTATATAGGCTAATTACTACATATAGAGTAGTGGTATAACATCGTATGGCCCAAAAAAGGGGTATTTAAATATAGATAATTACATACGGATGTGAAGTAATTGTACTGAATATAAAACAGAAGATAAATAAGTAAAAGTCCCAAAAAATGAGTATCTAATGTCTTCAGGGACTAAGCATTACTAGGCAAATCAAAAGGATAAATACGAGCGCATCTATGAAATAGCAGCTGAACATAAGGTACCATACACCCTCAAAACAATATATATCACAAGATGCAGCGCTATAAACTATAACATATATGCATGAATCAAAAAAAATCAGTCATAAATGACTGAACAGTTGACAGTTCATGTAATATAATAGGTGACTTTAGTGCTCTCTTCTACTTTATATCCTCCTGGTGGTCAGACGTTTGTGCAAAATAGTGCTGAAGGGGTGCACACTCACCAGAACGCACAGGTATATGAGCGTTTAGTATAGATTCCCCTTTAGGATCATCGACTGGACACGATGTGATATTAGGACCACCACTTTCCAGAACTCCTAGATGTTCCTGTAAACTCCCTTGTTGGGTGACCTGCGGACTTCTCCTTAGGATCGGTATACGATTCGTACCCCGCAAAGAGATGGGTGACTAGAATGGGTACTCCCCAAGGGAGTCAGAACAAAACGCATCCATAGTGTAGTAGGTCATTTAAAAAATATTTATTAAAAGCTCAACAATCCGTGTACACGGTGGTATATAAACAATATGGACTAACCGTCCAGTGATAAAGATGACCGCCGGAGCTCCACGATGCTCCGGCGGTATGACGTCACGGCGTTCCTGGCTCCTCCTACGCGTTTCGTGCACACGCACGTCGTCTGGGGGGATATGCCACTGAACGCCGAGCCGTGCGACGTCCATTTATATGCTAGGCGCATGCGCATTAGAAAGGCGCCATCATTTTGGAGTCTAACCACAGACAACCGGATTTTCATACCGGCGCCATTTTCCATTAGTTATATATGCTAATATCACAGCAATATATATACTCGGCTGGTTGTCATTCCCAATCATCTGACTATGATCCTGTGGTGCCTTCTAATTGATGTTTCCGGCTTTTTCTCCAAGCCGATAAATGTACAATTTGCTCTATGTGATAATAAGATAAGTATATTTCCAATTAGCCAGAAATGAAATACGAATCAAAATCGCCTTGTGTATATGGCACTAGCATATAAACCACTTGCCAAAATATATAGTATACTGTTCATTAAAATACATATTAAATATAAGTCAAACAATCCTAATGTTATGCAATTAAAACCAAGGACTACCGTGGGTCCTTGCTAAAATATAGGTTATAAACTAGTATATAAAATATTACAGTATAGACCTATCAATACCAGTGGATTTTTTATATAGATGGCACATCAAGATTCTTTAGAAGGGGAAATAAG